TTCGTTGAGAGATTTTGTCAAATTGAAGCCATCTAAATTCATTAAGCCAAGAATTTTTGAAAGCAGGTTTGGATTTCATTACAGTCTTTAATTTTTTATTCTTATTAGATAATGTTAATTTTTGGTTACTTTGATCACTTTCATAATCGTATTGGTAACTTTGGTCATTTTTATAATTATAATTTCCTTCATGGTTGTTTTGAATATATTCATGATGATTTTGATTGCTTTGGTTACTTTCGCTTTGATCTATTAGTTAAAAAAAATTTTTTTAAAAGAACTTATATACATATATAAACTTATGTGCATATTATGTATTAATAATGAAAATTTAATATACCAAATACTACATATTTTTACAAATATAATTTATTACAAATATAATTTATTACGAATATGATTTATTATGTATATAATTTATTACGTGATAAGTAACGGAAATTTTCCAATTGATAAAAAATTGTGTCAGAATTTGTCAGTCATAACTGGAATTTCTGGCATTTTACAATACAATTTTGTGCTCTGCTATGTATTGTTCTTTTTGAATCTATTTTTATTTTGGGCTTACTACAAATAGAAACTTACATCCTATGACTTGCCTATCTGAGTAACTGTCATAACAGGGAAGTTGTACTTTAAAAAGGCCCATCATATGATTTAGTCAATCAAAATGGGAAATTATACCAACACAACATACACGTGACTTATCTATGTTATCGGCACAGCAAATGATCGACACGAGTACATCAATCTTCTTAAAACTTTGAACGAAGATATCTTGACAACCATCAAAGCAAATTCGATGATTTTTTTTTTATTTGAATTTAAATACTTGTAGAATTAAAATAAGAAAAATTTCATTGAATTTGTCTTGATGGTTGTCGAGATATCTTTGTTCAAAGTTTGGTAAATAATTAAAATATCTATTAAATAGAGATGAAAATTTTGACTTTGAACAAAGATATCTCAACAACAATTTAAGCAAATTTGATAAACTTGTGTTATTTTTTAATTCTATCGACTTGTAAAGT